ATAATAAATGCTCTACAATCATGGACAATCAAGTTTCCAAAAAACGAAACTTGTTAAATGACTTTTTATAAACAAATAAATTTAAAAAACTGGCTGGCAAATTTAGAAATTTTTGTTTTCGCAAGCAAGCAAAAAAAGAAAGAACAAGCTCATTAATTAGTGGATATTTTTTCTGGTTAATTGTAAACAAAATGTCACACATTTAAATAAACAATATCTCCTCAATGAAGAAGACATCAAAGAGTTGCTTACACACACACACACACTCGGACTCACGTATTTTTTATTGTGATAACGATCATCATCATCGTGGTCTTCGTCATTAGATACTCTTTAGCAAAGAAACGAAAAATAAATAAAATAATGAAAATGTGATGATGAACTACATTTTCCATGCACACTGAAACACACAAACACACGTATTATTGTCATGCAATAAAAAAATAAACAACAACAAAATCAAACAAAAAAACAACAACATATCACATTTATATGTTTCTAAGAAAAATATGATAGCCGCATTTAAAAAGAATTACAATTAATGAACGAACGAACAAACACATGTGGGTATTCTTCTCTGCTCTACTCTCATCTAATAAAAGTTCGTATTAGATGTGAGAGCGAGAGCAAGGATCACACATTTTACGCTCTTTCTTGTTGGGCAAAAAAAAAAAAACAAAACACATGTTGTAATTCACCACAAGAGAAGGGGAATGTGTTGGGTACACAACACAACACGGCACTTTGCAAAATGTAAACAAAACAGTGTGTGTGTGTGTGTGTGACAGAGCGAGAGAGAGGTGGCAGAGGGATATAACAGCAATACTAGACAGCAGAGTACAGTGTTGTCAATACAAGTATTTTCAATTGGGAATAATGTAGCCTATATCAATGGTGGGCAAAATTCATCTTAAATATTTTTGAGGGAAAACAAAAACATATTCTGAGGAATTTATTTAATTAAACATAATTAATATCCAAGGAAGTGTAAAAAAGAAACAACATCCTTAAAAAAACTGAGGGAAATCGTCGTTAATGTTTATTTTCATTTTGACAACAAAAAATGTAAAGAGAAAGCATCAACGCTGATGTACAAGCCTGCCCGTCTTTGGTCTATATCCATGAATTTCTTGACCAAAATTCCACTGTTAAGTATTTGTACCCTACAACACAAGGGGGAGTGAAATATTCACCTGTGGCCCCATAACGTAGTCGAATCCTCGTACCAAAAATTATCAATATAGGTTTACGTTTTGGTGTAGCTCCCAAATATAACGGTACCGACCCATTTTCGGAATTTTTAAGCCTTTAGCAGTATTTTCGCATCGATATGGCTGTATTGTGGTATAAAGGGTTCCTAAAGACTGAAATTCATATATACAAAAAGTTATATATCACGAATTCCATGTCACGCACTGTTACAGCGTGTGAAATATAATTTTTAATTTTTATTAAATAGTTTTACGCCTTTTACAATACCTGCTAATTTTTTTATAAATATGTTTGTAAATGTCTGAGATATTAAGAAAAAATTAGCGTACGCACGCGCTACAAAATTTTCCCTTTAAAAATTTGATATCAGTTTCGATATGAAATTTCTGCGAATTGGCTGGAGATAAAATTGCGGATTTTTTTACAGCTATAATGGGTTATTCAAGATTATATTGACATTCAATTTTTTGAGAAAAAAATTTCTAAGATATACTTTTTTAACTTTGAACACCGTCACGAACATGTTACACTCGTAACGCACTGTTACACACACATGTACTAAAAAAATTAAATTCAAAACAGAATGTTTTAAAAATGCTAGTTCTTATACCCCACACAACTATGTTGTCAGGATATTATAGCTTTTTGTGGCCCCAAGAACTTTGGTAAATCATTATGCAGTTATGGACGACATTTTTGCCTGTAAATTCGGTTCTAAAGCAACTTATTGAGTAAGAATGTAACATGTGCGTGACGGATATAAATTTGTTCGATGGAGATAGAAGACAAAATTTGTTTTATTTGAATTTGTCATCTCAAGATCCACACATAACAGCATTATCAAAAAAAAATTCTCATATTAGAGTCTGTATAGAAACATATGCTAATTTTGTCACGCACGCGTTACATATTTTCTTACACTATTTAACTGCACTTACCACGGGATTCTCTTGGTATATGTATAGGTTTATATATATATGTAATTCTTAGTAAGATATTACTTTATTTGAATTTAATATTTATTATTGATATTGTTTTAGCTAACAGCGTTCACACTTACGACAAATGACACTCTAAAACTAATAAAAATATGCCCAAGTTACTCTCCACGCGAAAATGGTACAACGAAAAGAAAAACTACGGTTATTTTTCAAAATTCAACTAAAAATATATTGTCCGGATTGCAAAGAATATTTCCTATATAATTTCATATCTCTCTTAACGAATTGATTTTTCACCTGTGTGGTTGACCTTTTTGTGGAATTCGTGATATATTGGTCCATTTTTTGACATGTTTATATATATATTGGTCCATTTTTTGACATGGCCCTGCCATATAAGGATAACACCCTATTGTCAGTATTATAAAGGGTTTAGCCACATATTTCCCTTATTGTGGCTGTAATTTGGAATTTCGTGATATTGGATGCTTTAAACACATTTTTTTGTCGTAACAGTTTTTATAAAGCTTTACATTAAGATCCCATTACATTTTCGTTATTATTAAGTTTTTTTTTTACAAAAGTTATGAATAAAAAACTTTTTACCAGAAATTATTATATCAGTATAGATGTTTTTTTTAAATAGCACTATTTGTTAAAATTTCGGCAAATTGTTATTACCTCCAGTTTTTCAACCTTAGTGTCTGTGATTTAGAAGATTTTTCAGAGCATGATCAACCTAATACCACATAATGCAATAAAATAGTCCTCATATAAAGTTCCCGATTGGTTTAAAACATTTTGGATGCATAAGTCCGAACATAACGGCGATTTTGCTTGTTTTTCTTTTAAAATCATATCAAAAAAAATCACCAAGTTGGCATTACTGAATGCACGCACATTCGTTTGCCTGCATGCATGCTTTGTGTTTTTTTTATATGCCAACGACGATGATGATGATGAGACGACGATGTGTTGTATATCTAGCGAGCATACAACATTTTTTGTTTACGAACGGTCACGACGACGACGCCGCCGCCGACAGCGACGTTGACGTCGATGACAGCAAAGTAGCAGCAGCTTGCCAATGTTGAATATTTCTCAAGAGAAACCAGATGTATTTTACAATTCGAACGCTACAATACATGATTACGGATGACAACGGGCGCGCGTGCTTAAATATTGAAAAGAAATAAAGAAAACAAAACAATAATAAAAAATAAACAAAAAATATAGTGAAGAAAAGAAACACGATCATTTTATTGTAGAGAAAGAAAAAAATATTTTTTAAAAAAATTTAAATAACAAGAAAACAAAAATATACAAATTTTATAAATCGAAGAAAAAACAAGTTTATTGTTATAACAGAAAATATTGTAAAAGAAATAATTGCATATGATTTCACTAAGTCTGCTTAGTTGATTACTTGTGAAGTTACAATTAACGCAAAAATAAGAAGAAGAAGAAGAAAAGCAAAAAAGAAAAAAATTGAGTGATCTAAAGAATGTGAAGTACATTGCCATGTACTTTGTTTTTTTAAACATACATACATAGATAATAGTAATACGAGAATAAACAAAAACAACAACAAAACGAAACGAAACACCACAGCAGCCACTAGCAACAACAATTGCCAGCCGTCACATTGTCTTAAACCAGTGTGTTATTGCTATTTGATATTAGTTGGTTTCTTTAACAACAAAAAATCCCCCCTTTTATAAAAGAACGAATAACAACTACTCTGCTTCTTATTGTGTGTGAGAGGGAGAGTGAGTGAGACTACAAGTGTGAGAGCCAAAACACTTGAGTGTGACAACAGTGTTTTTATTTTAAAAAGGGGCAAACATTGCAGTTACAACAGTGCCCAGAGTACAGTGGTCATGAAATAAACAGAGCGTGTGTGTGTGTGCGTGTGCTGCTGTTACAAAAGGGAGAGAGAGTGATTGTTGTCTCTGTTGTGTGTTGTGTTATAATAAGAAAAAGAGCTGAAGACACAACAACTGTAATAGTGAAATTGTTGTAAGCAATTGCAAAACAATGGAATTTATCAAGTGAAGCCAACCAAGCCAAGCAAAGCAAAACAATACCAAACAAGAAATAGCAAACCACAAGACAAGACATTGATGGAAAAGCAAAACCGAAGAAAATAGTTATTTGAAGTAAAATAATAACGAAGACAACAAAAGGTTGTTACCTCCCCCCACCCTCTTCTAAGTGTAAAGAGTTTTAATACTCCCCGTTACTAAATTGTCAACAAGAGCACACAAAACAACAACAAAAATATGCAAACAATGCATTTGTAATTAAACAGTGAGAAAAGAAGAAGAAAACAACAAATATTTTGAAGAAAAATAATATTACAAATAAAAGTGAAAAAGAAAACAAAGTGTGTGAAAGAAAAAAACAACACAACCACTATCATCAATAGAAAAGAGAAGCATTGCAATTAATTACAAAGTAGTGGTGTTGGAAATAATAAAACCCGGGAAAGTTGAATGTTTATTTTTATGAATGAATTTTTATAGCCAGAGTGCTGCTGCTCAGCTTCACATTCTACTGACAAACTAATCAGCTGCCAGTCATTTTAATTTTACTGCTTGAAAAAAAGTGAAAGAAACAACAATTGAAATTTATTTTAAACTATAAAAAAATCATACCTTGGAAAAATACCCTGCCCCAGGAATTAAAGGCAATCCCAAAATGGGGTGTAGTACAGTCGTAATTAATGATGATAACAACATGCAGCAGCATGTTGGCAAAGGCCGGAGTACTAGTAGTAGACATCTCCGACAAACTGGTATATTATGTCAAAGATTATGGCTGGCATTGTTTTGTTTAAGCATCATCATGACACAACAATGCTGTTTGGCATTGGTTTTAATGGAAACACCAGCACCACCACCATTACAACAACAGAATTTCGAACCCCAACCAACATCAACAAAAACAGGAACAGAAAATCTGCCAGCTGCCGTTGTCGAGGATAATTCAACAAATCAAACAAAAATTGTCCTCAGGACAACAAACTCACCCTCGACCTCAAATCGTTTACCACCACCCAAGAGGGTTGAACTTAATAAATGTTGTCTATTTGCTGAATATTTGGATAAAAGCAAAACATGTATGCCAGGGGCAACAGAGAAATGGATACCCTTGATATATTTAATAAATCGCAAAGACTACTATCGGCCACAGGGTTCAAGTCCGAAATTCATTACCTTCCAGGATAATGTGTTTCCCATAAGTCAGGCCCGTGCTTTAAATGAACCCCCAAAATATGACGATGATGATGACGACGACGAAAATGTTTCCTGTACCGTAGACGACTTGGTCCTGTACACTGGCACCAACAACTTCATCATATTTTCCAATGGTTCGTTGTTCCTACCCGATCGTGTTGTTTCCATACCACCACAACGTTATTGTGTCGATCAACAAGCAGCCTTGGTGTGTTTTCCCAAACCTAAACATCCCGAGCCCACTTTGAAGTTGAAAAAATGTTGCCTCCATGGAGTCTATGATAAACAGTTGGAAAAATGTCAAATCGATGGAACGCGCAACAATCAATTGAATCTATCACTGGCCCAGAATGTCAGCTATCAAACTATCTATGGCTTTCCGGAATGTAAGGAAGGATCCACAACCTATGCCATAGCAGGCAGCTGGTCCCCCGATCAATTGCTATCCGATGTAACTGGCCACTTCCATTTGCCGCACTATAGCGTGAATCTATCCTCCGAGGACTATTGCCTTGAGAATCTACTTTCCCCCAACAATGGCAGCGAGGAATTGAAAGTTTTTGCCTGCCTCCATCATTTTGTCAAAGAAAACAACACCAAATATGATGGTCATCATTTTGCTGCTATCAGCTCTAGCCTGGTCATATCTGTGATATTTTTGGCTGCCACCCTAGTGGCCAGTTATCTAATGCCCTCCGTACATCATGTCCTGCATTGGAGATGCCAAATCTACTATGTGTTCTGCCTGTTTATTGCCGAGTTCCTCTACACTTTTACTCTATATTTTCCATTCTCCATTATGGATGTGGCCCCTTGTAAATTGGTGGCCTCGGCAATGCATTTCTTTTTCCTGGCCGCCTTCTTTTGGCTCAACACAATGTGTTTCAATATTTGGTGGACATTCCGTGATTTTCGCCCTAGTTCCTTGGAAAGGAATCAAGAAATGATACGTCTACGGCTATACTCGGCCTATGCCTGGGGCATACCTCTACTAATCACCACAATTGCCGCCTGTGTCGATCTGGTACCCGAATCATCGCTGTTGCGTCCTGGTTTTTGCAAAGCCAAAGAATTGGATCCATCATATCTGGATATCGATTCACCCTATCAAGATGCCAAATCACCTTATCTAGTTTGTTGGTTCAACAGTGGACGTTTACCCATCTTTGCCTATTTCTTTGGTCCTGTGGGCATTCTACTGAGTATCAATATTATGCTATTCATCTCCACCACCCATCAACTGACCTGTGGTCTGTGGAAACGTGACGATGTCAAATCGACTACAGAGAAGACGGCCTTGGGTAAGGTTTGCCTTAAGCTGGTCGTCGTAATGGGCGTTACCTGGATAGTTGATGTTCTGTCGTGGTTGATTGGTGGCCCGAACAGCGCTTGGATTGTCACCGATATTGCCAATGCATTACAAGGTGTATTCATATTTCTTGTGGTCGGCTGTCAACCACAAGTATGGGCAGCATGTCGGCGTTTTTGTTGCCCCCGTTCGCGTCAAGAGATCACAAATACCACAAATGGGGTACAGCATTCTTCGTCGTCACAAGGTTTACCTTCGCTGGCAGCTTGCGGTGGCGAAATAACACAAAATACTTCAGTGCATAATACAACGCTGGGCGGCGGTGGAGGAGGAGGCGCAGGCAATAACAGTCTTGGTAACCATACACCGGCAACTGCGGTAACCACAACATCTACATTGAAAAAAATTCCCATGGAGACTGTATGCTAACAAAATAAATGGTAAGTTTTTTTTAGTTGTTGCCGTAGTTTTAAATTCCAATGGGTGGTACTGGGAGGGGAATTTTGGTTGGGTGGTTTTCTTGATGTTATTAAATTCTTTTGGTTTTTATTTTATTTTTATTTTTTTCTATAGAATGCATTCCGATATTTTTTTCAAATGTCATCCTCCTCATATTACACTAGTCAACCAAAAGGAAACCGAAAAGTGGCAAAGAAACAAACTCCTGGAAGAGAGGGCTTCAACATGGAATGAAGTTTGATCACAAGTGAATGAATTTATTTAAGAGACTAAAATTGAGGGACATGTGTTGCACAGTTTTAACCAGCAGATAAATCGAATGTGTACTTGACCGACAGACTGATAAGTTGGAAGTGAAGTTGGGTCCAGGACCGAAGTTATTGGGCGACATTTTTTTTTTCAAAAGTTAGGATTTGGAGAATTGGAAGAAGCCAAATCCCAAATGAATTTAGAGGGATGGGATTTATCATTTTCCAATCATGGATGGGTTTTTTGATTGCAGCAGTATTTGGACGCGTAAATTAGAGTTTTGGGAACTTTAAAAGAGATTTGGAGGATGAAAAGGACGGCACAATGGGGCGCAGGAGTAAATATGTATATGTATGGGTGGGGTCTGATTTGGACGCTTCAATCAGAGAGTTTAGGGACAAGTTTTCAAAATATTTGTTGCCGTTTGACTTGATTTGAACGATGAAACCCCCCCAAAAGGGGATGCAGGAGGAAATATAAATTTTTTATGTAATTCTCTGAAAATATGGAATTAACATAATTACGAATGACGAAGGCTGCGGTCTGATTTCCCGCAAGATAAACCAGAAATATATTTCGAGTGATTTTGATCCAGTTATTCGTATTGACATTAAGTATAACCTTCGAACGGATTCTATGTATTTTTGGTCATAGCAAATGTACAGCACAGATCTAGGAGCATTTAAATTCTTTATAATTCCGCATCCTGTAATAAAGAACAATAAAGAAAGACTTAATACATAAAGAAGTTTTGCAGATAAGCCAAACTTGAATTAGGGCTACATTAGTCCCGGCTTATGAATAGACGTCAAATATCAATTCAGAACGATTTTTGATATTTTTAATGCGATATTTTCACCAGAATTGTTTGTATGTTTGGTAGGACTTAGAGTATAGAATATTGACAATATGGTTCCGGAGGAAATATAAAACCCTAGAATAAAATATACCGAATGATCTGGGATAGAGATCTAAAATTTCGCACATATGACTATTGATTTCGGATAGACCATAATTTAGTTTTAATGGTATTGGGAAAGGTTTCCGCCAAGGTATTAAATATCAGTACCGAACGATGTTATATATTTGAAAGATTTTGTCAAGTTTTGGCTGTATCTTGGCAGGATTTGAGGGATCAAAAATTGACGATTAGAGTTTTATTATCAAGACTAATCACGACTGTTTTGTGATAAGGGTTTCAAAATTTTACACAGACATGTCGCTATTAAACATGGACGTCATTGGGTACTGGTAGTCCCGATTTTATGTATTTTATTTAAGATTTCTATATAGTCCCGGATCCAACAGACGATGCAAAGGATTCATTGCCCAATTAACACAAATAAGAGTACAAACTTATTATAAAAAATTATTTTATTAAATCTTACATCTCTTATATGAACTGATTTGTTAAATGTTTATTCTGTTAAGTTAAATGAAAAAAAAACTTAGTCAAATTGACTCAATTTCCAATAAAGTATTAAAAATCGAACACTCAGTCTTTTATTTGGAAACCCTCTTGGGCTTTATTTTGGTTTATTTGATGTTCATCACAGCAGCATTTGAAGGTAGTTGGTGTCAGAAGTATTGCCATTTTTGGCCTTTTCGAAATCGAAAACCATTTCGTTTAATGATTCTGCTTCGATTTTAGGTTCTGGAACTGAGCAGTTGTGCCGCCTAAATTTGTCTGCAGGTTCTAATGTCCTCGGCTGTACATTTTTAATCCTCCGGACACATTTTAAATATGTATTACCTTAATTACATACTTAGCTGATTCGATAAAGAACATTTTTTCAATAAACCAAGCTTAAAAAAGTTTCACAGGTGCGTCGGTCTTGTGCACATTTTTCCCATTTCTATCTGTGACCATACACCAGCAAGGGTAGTATCTGCTTTAACTAACTGGCCCTCCAAAATAAGGTTGTTGCATCTCCTGTTGTGTTCTCTATTATGTTCTGATGGTGTCTTTCCTAATTGCTGTAATTGGAGTTTTGAAATTCTAAGGACACATAAAAACAATTTAAATCTTTTGAAATAGTCAAAACAAAGATTCTCTTCATGTTCCCTTTCCCTCGATTTACAACAATATTAACCTAAAAATTGTCTTCAAATTTCCTCAGTTTGTTGTCTCCCAAGGGTAGAAAAACAAAACAATATCATGCCTTTGTGTCATTGTGTGTTTTCCTACTATAAATTCGGTCATATAGGTCATCTTGTCCCCCGCCAACCACAAAATATCCCTTATGACAGACTTTCTTTTCATGTTCTTGTTCTATTATAACCTTTTGTTTTTCAACATTTTTATTGACATTTTTTTATGATTTTTAATTTGTTCTTTGTCGATTCGATCGTAAATGGCCACTTAATGTTATTGGAAAAATCGGTTTGTTGGTGCCACATTTCTATTGCGATGACGATTTTTGTTTTAATGATTATGTCTTTGAGAAGTTTGTAGTTTTTTTAATGGCCTCTTGTTTTTTTATTTTTCTTCTAATGATTTCTAATCAAATTATGTTGCATGTATGTACGTATGTAAATTTATATGATTTTTCTTTTCTTTAATTGGATGTTGTTAGTCTCAAGAGTAGCTCTTGTATACAGAATGAATGCCCCCCATAGGGGACAATTAACAAACAAGCAGCAAATTATTTGATGGCCTATCAAAACAGATTTCAAAAATTCGATAGTTAAGAGCAGATGAAAATGCCCAGGATGTAATTATGGGGACAAATTTGATGACATGAAGTTGTTGGGTTAATTTTTCTCGTGTTGAATTTGTATTATAAATTAATTTCATTTAATATCTGCTAAGAATTTGACATCATGATGTATTAATGTGTCATTTAAAAGTAGCAGTAAATCTGCTCGAAGGACCAAAAATACACATGAGATAAATTTTGGGTTTTTTAAAGGCGTACAGTCGCGAATTCAAATTTTTATTGCCTTTAGTTCTCACATGATGGTTGGTTATCAAAAGAGATTTCCGAAATTCCACAGTTGAAAATGGCCAGAATGTAATTATGGTGACAAATTTGATGAGTTATTGGATTAATTTTTCTCATATAGAATTTATATAATAAATTAATGACAATATCTGCTAAGAATTTGACACCATGATGTATTAATGTTCCATCAGTAAATTTTTGCTCGAAGGACCAAAAATACGCATGAGATAAATAGTGGGTTTCGAATTATAATTTTAAATTTCTCAACATGTCTTTAGTCTTCACAATTGACCAGCAAATAAAAATGTGGATTTAAAATAGTAATGAATCTGATCGAAGGACCAATAAACAACTCTAAATGAAATAAATTCGATCATTAAGCTCATCTCGAAAGGAAAAAAACTGATTTCAAAATAAATAAATTCTTTAAAAATCATTGAAAATTATATTCTTAAAGTCATTTCTATATAACTTAGAAATAAATGTGCTCGAAGGACCAATAAAAAATTATAAACAAATAATTTGTTGAAAAAATACACTTTTGAAGTCCTTTCCATATAATTTAGAAATAAATGTGCTCGATGGACCAATAACAAATTATAAACAAATAATTTGTTGAAAAAATACACTTTTGAATTATATATATAGATGGAAAGGACCATATAATTATGAATTATATGAAAAGGACCATATAATTTAGAAATAAATGTGCTCGAAGAACCAATATATATATTTTACAGATAAGTGCTGGAGACGATAAATTCCAATGTCATATGTGCTTAAAATAGTAATGAATCTGCTCGGAGGACCAATAAAAAACTATAAAAAATTAGTAATAAATGTGCTCGAAGAACCATTAAAATTATAAATAAATCGTTGAAAAAATAATTTACAAAAACACTTTTGAAGTCCTTTCCATATCATTTAGAAATTAATGTGCTCGAAGGACCAATATATATTTTGGAGAAAAGTGCTGGGGACGATAAATACCAATGACCAAGAAAAAATTATAAATGAATAAATAGTTTAAAAATCATTTACAAATATACTCTTGAAGTCCTTTGCATATAAGTAAGAAATAAATGTGCTCGAAGGACCAATAAAAAATTATAAATAAATAAATTGTTGAAAAAATGAACTTTTGAAGCCCTTTCCATATATGTATTTTAGTGATAAATGTGCTCGAAGGACCAATAAAAAATTATAAATAAATAAATTGTTGAAAAAATGCACTTTTGAAGCCCTTTCCATATATTTTAGAAATAAATGTGCTTGAAGGGCCAATATATATATATATATATATAATTTAAAATTAAATGTGCTCGAACGACCAATAAAATAATAAATAAATAATTAAAAAAAATATTTAAAATTATACTCTTGAACTCATTTCCATATAATTTAGAAATAGATTTGCTCGAAGAACCAATATATATTTCGGAAATAAGTGCTAGATGCCATAAATTCCGTGGTCATATATGCTTAAAATGTCTCGAAGAACCAATAAAAGGTTGTACATCATTTACAAATACATTTTTGAAGTCCTTTTCATTTATAATTTAGAAATAAATGTGCATGAAGGACCAATAAAAAATTATAAATAAATTGTTTAAAAATCTTTAAAATTATGAATCCCTTTTCCTATGTGTTAGTAAGAAATGTACCGAAGGACCAATAAAAATATCAATAACTAGGTAAATTGTTTAAAAGATCATTTACAAATACATTTTTGAAGTCTTTTCCATTTAATTTTGCAATAAATGTGCTCTTAGGACCAAAATATATTATACAGTTGAGAGCTAGAGACAATAAATTCCAATGTCATATGTGCTCGAATCATAAGTGTTCCCCACTTACACAGCTGGAAATAGAGAAATACGAAAGAGCATTTTCTAAACTACAATATGTTTGACATGTGTTCCTCAGGATATGTAACAAAAAATGTCCTAATCCTCAAAATTATTGCAACAAATTTACCCAAGTACTTATCTTCTAAATCTCTCTCGCTGTGAACCTTACATTTTTGTGAATGGAAATTGGGTCAGGTTTTAACCGATATACAAATATTCCAATACTTGAAATGATTCATTCATTTTCCCCTAGGGGTTTTACCCAAAAAAAAAAGCGATCAATTTTTCGCAAAATGTGTTTCAATTTCAACTTAATTATCCCGCTTCTTGTGTTTCCCTATAATAAAGGCGTGACTGTATTGCATTATTGTTTTCTAATCCTAACTACCTACCTACTTATTTTCAATTTCCTCTTTCTTTTTTCTTTGTTTTTCAAATATTTATTGTTCATTCCGTTTCGTTGAACTATTTAAGGCGTCAATTTAACACAAATCTACGTCAATACTAATTACCCAAACTATGTTTTGGAAAACAAATTGAAGAGGATTTTCAAGATTCATACAATGGAAATTTCTTTGTATTTTGTTTCGAAAAAGTTTTAACGCCAGTAAATATTTGTTAAAATTCACAAGGGGTAAACATAAAATCTCTTAAAGGCGCAATTTCTACCTGAATTGCGTTTACGCAAACCGTCCTCTGAAGTGCCATTGTTTTCTTTGTTAGCGCACCATAGAGTTTTTGTTTCCTTTTTTTTTTTTGAGAAATCCTGTTGTGAAATATTCAATTCTAATGCGTCTTACCTGAAATAAATACTAATTGCTGTATGTAACATTTCAATATACGATGTTAATATTGGCACCCCGTTCTCTTTTTTAATTAACACTAACCCTTTTTAAAGAGAAATTTTAAGTAACATGTCTTTTTAATTAGGATTTTTAAGAAATTAATTTTGAAAATATGATAACTGAACAAAAACGATTTTAATAGATATTGTCTCAGCTGAATATTTTCAGTAGGAAATTGTTGATCTATTAACAAATATTTGAAATATCACAGCAATTTTCCAATGAATACTCCTCCAAAAATTCAGTAAAAATATCCACGTCATAAATTCCATTATTCGAATTTTATATCTGATATAGAACACATTTTGGTCAGACTATAAGTGCTCACTAACGTATTAGCGCTTACAACACTAATTCCTCAAAATCCCTCAAAAATTGAAAATGATATTAATAACAAACTTTATCAAAAAAATTGTTACTAGCTTTCAAAAATGCATTTAAAAGTCAAACCATAAAAAATTTATAAATAAAATTCTTCGAAATTAAAATATAAATAAACCAGTGAGCGGAGCAGTATAGTCGTACCCGGGGCCGACCATATGATACCCTACACAACTACCACGAAAAGCAAACTTTCGGCGATTCTATATTCTGAGCAATATTTCGTGATATTTGCACCATTTTTACTCTTTAGGCGATTATAGATCAACAACTCCACTTTGTAAGTCTTACATATTTTCCAAAATTTTTTTTCTTGAAGTGAATTTTTACGCCATAAAATAAAAAATTGGTCACTTTAGATTTTGGTTGATTTGACCCTCGGAAAATTGACCGATCATCATCTAAACAGCCGCTCTTTGCCTCTAGAGAGACTAGAAAATCTGACAAAATTTAAGTCTTCGGTTCATTGCACCCCCTGAATTAAATCTCAACTTCACCGAAAACTATAGGCGTCGTCCTTGACCATAATCGGAAATTCATGTACAATTTCAAAGCGATCAGCGCGACATATCCATCCTCTAATGGAGTAATAGTAATACTATGCACATTGTCACCTTTACCTAATTGGTATCAATTTGAAGGTCAACAACTCCTCTTGGATATACTATCAACTTCTCGGGAATATGTCCT